ACAAACCAAAAAGTAATGGTGCAATAACCATCAACTTTTAGAGAAACAACGTACCTGTAATCGTTTTACGTGGCAATTTCTGGCGTAGAATATCGTACTGTTGAAGATACGAAATCACACTTGGTCTAAAATTTAATTTGTCAGCACAGGTTTCTTCTATAGCTAGAATCACCACGCAGCCCAGTGCAGATTATTACAACTGCATATGCAGATGGCCTAACGATTTTAATGCGCCTTAACATAATTAAGGAGGAGTTTAAAATTATACATTTTCCATGATCACCATCCACAGGCCCTTGAGCCGTGTTATATTGCTCTTAAAATTAACCACTGTAATCGCTAAACAGTGTGCCATGAAAATCTTCAGGTCACAATATATACAGTATTCTAATGTCACCACATACGAGATCTGTAGAAAATTCGTTGCGTCCAACTCCTTTAGCTCGGATTCAGTGGCGTAACTACAGGGTGGCAAGTCGGCACAATGCCACGGGCCCCCAGCTGGAAGGGGCCCCCAGCTGGAAGGGGCCCCCGGCTGGAAGGGGCCCCCAGCTGGAAGTGGCCCCCGGGCAGAGGAGACTACATACTCCTGACATTTATTATTACACAATTAGTAAAAAAAGATAGAATATTCGATGAATTTGCCACGGGTCAAAAACGGTATAGTTACGCCACTGCTCGGATTTATATGTTTTCAGAATTTCAGAAGTCACATTACTTATATTAAACTAGATACATATCCTACGTTTGGACTTCGCAATATAAGAAAACGAAAGGAACATTCATTGAATGAAATAACACGATTAATATATCCTAGTGAAGGTCGCATAATGTAAAAAGTTATTAACACTCTCCTCCGTCTATCATCAAGACGATTACAGCTTTTAATCTCAGCTTAGGCGACTATTACAGTTAATTTGCTACAAAACGCTTATAATGCGATTAATTTATTGGTCAGTCGTGTCTCGCTTGACCGACGTAAGCCGTCCAGTATAATTTCTAATATCATAATGTGGGAAGGCTCAATTGTAAGAATATTGTATAATAATAAATGAAAGAGTTGTGAGATCAACACTAATACCAATATTAACAAGAAGTATGTTAATAGCCATGCAAGCTGTCAATGAAAAACCTGACAACGAATTTCTTTTATCAATTCGCACCAGCTTTGGCGCCAATCCAATCAACGTCAACAATATCTTATTGAGAAAGAAGCTGTCCAAATAATCGGCAATCAGCTTGAGGGCAATTTTATTAAGTGGGTCAATTTCTTTCATTTCAATAACTACAGGAAAACTGAAGACAAAATTTGAAGACGTTATTCACGTTTATCACAAGGAACCTCGATCCACTGTAGTAACCATATTTTAAAGCAACAAGAATAAAATTAACGACCCGCAAAGTTTTCTCCGCCTCGTCGTCGCAGTCAACAGCAATCCATAACGATAACATATTGAAACGCGATTAACTGTTAACGTAACACCTTTTGAAGTTTATAAAAAGTTCGACTCTTTTCAATAATGAAACTTTATTTACAGCTTAATAAATCCAGACATCTGCAAAAACGAAGCCAGTAAATTAAGTACAGGGCGCAGGACTGGCACATTACAGTGAAATTATTTTATTTGCGGGTGGCACAATATGTTGCGATTCGTTAGGTAAATAAATACTTTTGACCCAAAACAGTCAAACGTAAAAGCGAGCACGAAACGATGACAAACTGATGACCATGTTTACCTGACTTAAACCAATTTCTCCGATAAAGAATCCGTTGAAATGGTGTCTACAAGCATTCGTATTCCCCTCGGAATACTTTATATACACCAATTATGACAAAGACTTGAATTCAAGCTTTAAATAGTCAAGTTATATTATTTTTCCTGAATTCTATAAAATTATTAATAATTAATCGAGTATCTTGTTGAATAAAATATGAAAACTGATCTTAACATTTTGTGAACATTATTTAGAACTTTTACGAATATTTATTACATTATAGTACAAATGAAATTTTCGTCGGAATTTGACCATGGCAATTTGTTGTGAGTAAACAATGAGTCGTGAGTGGTGCCACCCTCCATCTTCCAATAGCGGGACCTCTAGGAACATCCAATTTACGACCTAACTGTTAAATTTCTATAAGATATTCTTCAAACTACATCGCGGAACAATGCTTGTAAAGACTACATTTCTAAACGTAGATAGATGAAAATGGCGGTTTCAGACTAGATACACGGGAGCGGCAACGGCCTATTCCATAAAATATAGCCATGTAAATATTCTAAACTCGGAAACAAATAAAATCAAGCGCTTGCAAGAGCCCGCGGACGATCTGAGCTCGCGCTCACCTGCTATGATTTATGCGCTAGAGTCGCCATTGTACTGTCACGGGGACTAGCCCGTGGAAACTTATGAAGCTGCCTTGCCTCAAATGTCTTGTATTTTGTTACACTTACAAATTACACTCAAAATTCTAACATGTATCTCAATAATTAATAGATTCGTAACATTAGTGTATTATCTCGAGTACAAAATCCCTAAAAAAGTAATGTTCAAATTAAGGGAAATACCGTTCAAAGATTATGTCGATCAAACCAAACTGTCTACGAAGGACTAATATTTTAGTGTACTTACAATGTATAGTTTTCGATGTGTATGATGAATTCATCTGTCTGCATATAGTACCTGCTACCGGCGCATTGAGTATTAACGGTAGCTCGTATTTGTTAGCAAGCGTGTAATCTTTTAAGCTCATTAAAGATGATAGAGTGTATTCATTTTGTATCAATTCATAACTTTCATTAAATGCCTCTCATTTACCGTACACAGACCCACAGTTTATGGCACTGCTTTTACCTGCAATTATTTAAGTATCGAAACGGCTAATTTAGCCATTTGAAGAGATATAAAATGGGTGCTTGACTTTTATAGTGATTTGCCCAAAATATTGACTTATGCACAGAGAGAAATGCAAATTATTTTTAATTGCCTTCCGGTAGAAAGTAGGTGAACTTGAACATGAAACGGGCTGGCCGAATCGGTTCGGTTCTTGTCGAAGTAATGACAAAGCGGTGACGACTGAGGTGTTGGATTGGTACCTACTACTCCAGTGTCAACAAGATATCTGGACATGCGGATCTCATAAGATAGTCAGCAATTAAAATCCTGCTTTCTACAATTATTAAATACTACTTTAGATGTTGGAATGATGATAAAGCTTTTTTATCTTTTAATGTGCCTTTATAGATAAGAGGAATCACTGACTTCCAAAAAACAGATTTAATTCTAGTTTGGGGGTCAGGGGGCTCACAATAATTTAAGTGCTAATTTATAACCTAAAATGCCAGATTTTCATTTATGTATAAAAACATGTGCTGTGTTGGTTTGAATAAAATTTCTATTATTATTATAAACTGATGCATAAGGAATAATATTGTATTCACATAAATAGCAACATTGTATTGTTATTATTGTCGTTACGGATGGACTGATTTTAATTAATTATATCAGTATCGGTTGTAATTAATTGTTCGCGTTAGGGTACCGTACCTCAAAAGCAATAAGTTTATATATTTGGATACGGATACTCATCTTTGTCCGTCCATCGGTCTGCCACGTCCGATTTGCTCCGAAACTACGGACCGATTGATATGAGTTTGGTAAAAATTTTAATGGATTTAAAAAATTTATACGATGACCTCTTTTAAATGACAGAATTGAGGTTATAAAAGTTTTTGCTAACTACATATATCAAACATATGACATATTGAAATTAAGGGTGTATTGTGAGGTGAGTTTATAGGATTCACCCATTCTGAAACTATTAGTATCTTCACGTTATAATTGGTTAGACTAGATGCCGCTAGTTTATTGGGAACCTTATAAAAAAATGAATAGGACATATATTGGTTTTTAATTTACAATTTTACGCAACATTTCTAATCCTTCTATGTTAAATTCTTGTACTTACCCACCTATGGAATTTTGCTCTAAAATTGTAAATAGAAAACAATACTAGGTGAGAATGACGCAAATATGATCTCTAATCTTTTTGTGTAGGAATGAAAATCATGTAATTTACAGAAATACTCACCACCAAAACGTTAAAGTTTCAAATTAAGTGGAGAAATGTGACGACTTTGTATAACCTGACGTGCTGATGTCCGTACCGGAATCCTGTTCTTGTAAATGCACCCGTTTATTATCTATATTCATATAATATTAAAATTGATTGCAAAATTTGATATTTAGTTATAACATAATATGCCGCTCTGAACTCTCTCTTTTTATGAAACTTAATATTGAACTTTTCTATAGGTGTAAATGTTGATGTCCTGATGTAGGAATTGTTAAATAATAAGAAAGATCAATTTTACCTACCAACTTACGTAATATCTTTCTCAATGAGGAAGTATTTAAAAAAAAAAATTAGTTCCCGAAATCAAATTAGATGTCGCTACGGTACGTTCTTAACCATTCCGGTTTTCTTTCATGTTTAAAAGTAAATTAGTTTTCAAAAGTTAATAAACAGCTCACATTCTATTTGTACTTTTTCGTATTTGTATTGATATATAAGTTTCGAATTTTTAAATTTCAGTTTTTTAATATGTTAGTTAAAAGGAACGGAAATGCCGTTTTTTTAAATACTTTTTCATTAATCAAATCATATTATTATCATGAGCCCATTAATATTCATATAATATTAGGGGCATATAAATTCCCTATAGATGACATCAAATCGAATAAGGAGAATAGTGTATGACTCGCCATGCGGGACCAGTGCGGAGTGGGATTAACGATTGCAAATGCAGCTGGAACCAACGGCTTAAATACCTTCCGAAACACGAAGGAACTCAAGATACCCATCTTATTTCCAGCCCATGTGATACTTGCTTATCTCTTCTGCATCGCATACCGAATGTGCTAACCACTGCGCCATCGAGCTCCTCATATGAAATATTTACTAATGTAATGAAAATTAGTAATAATTGCATTATTTTAAAATAAACTGTTTTATTTAATAACAAAGTTCCAAATATTTGGTTTAATTGTCCATGTTTTGAAAAAAGTGTCCTTCACTATTTCCCACTGCTCTAAATATCTTTTTGATTTCTGTTTTGCTTCACTGTATGTTAATGTTTTTACTGGCATAAATTCCATATTTTTCTCTAAAGCTTCTATTTTCATTAAAACCTGTTGGAATTTTTTAAACAAATTATATTTACTAATGCACAGGGAATTATCAGGTGATATCTGTTTTTTCTTTGTTAATCCTAGCTTTTTTCCTTGAACTGCTACTTCAGTTAACCTAAAACAAATGGACGCTTAATTAATTACAGCTTTTTTTATAAATCCTATAATGGATTTCCAGTTTTCTCTTTCAAACAACTTTTCTTAAATGACCTCCAAGTATTTATCCAAGTACTTATAAAAAATGAGGAATTCACACAAAAAGCACTAATTTCTTATCACTTGAACTTATTCTTTGATCATTCTAGTGATCGGTGACAAAATAACAAATTTTACACCTATGATCCAGGGAAATACGATAAAAAGGACACAAAATCCAGTGCTATGAAATATGTTATTTTTGTGTTCTATTATTTTGATTTAAAAATTTCTTACTTAACACAATTAATTATATACTATATTTAAAGCTTTTTAACTAACTAAATCATTTGTACACAAGCAAAAGATCTCTTTTAATTATAAATTAATTGTACTGTTGGATACACAAATATCAAATTCAGATGTTCTTTTCTCTTTCTTCAAATTTATAAAGTTACTCAATTAAAAGATTATTTGTATAAATACCTATTCCCTGGCTTATTAGTTGTCACAGTTCTAACAAATTTAAAATCTGAAAGATATAAAATACAACCATACTCACTAAATAAGTAACAGAAACTTACATTTGATCTAATTTGATCCATACAATACTACCAGGTGCTGGTCTTATATTAGTGTCATTTTTAATATGTGGAAAAACAACTGATGCCTGATAAAACAGTGGCACATTATTTGAAGTCACAAAGGAATTTTCTAAACTCCTTTTGAGGCATGCTCTCATTATAGATTCTTCAGAATAAGGTACACCACCACCAAATATTAGTGATGAAAAACATATTGACTTTAGAAGTAACATATCTAAAAGTGCACCTTGTACACCAACATGTATCCATCTTGCTATTTTATCACTACAAGAAACTGATAAAGTTCTGTCACCACGACCAGGTTTAGTGCGGACTTTCCCCAACAAATGATAATTGGCACCTGCACTTTTTGTATCTTGTTCACTATGAGGTAGACATTTAGCTCCTGTCCTATAAATATCATAATTATCCAATTTATGTTTCTTAACATCCAATTCAGAATATGAAATATCTGTGTTTGCTTGACGCTTGCTTGAAGTTATTACCTGACCAAGACATTCTTCATCAATTTCTTTTCGCATTATTGCCGCATCACCACATGGCATTTGCGATGAATAAAAGACAAATTCAACATTATCCTTTAACTTGAACTTGTTGTTCTCAAATAAAAATATTGATTCTTTCTTTTCTAAAGCTTTCATCATATTATCATATAGATATACAAGAAAACCCCGTCTTGCAATAACTTCAGCGTGACTATCATTCAATATGTCACCAGCCGATGACATTTTGGTAGCACCAATACACTTAGATCCTGTTCCTAAAGAAACAACTTCAAAAGTGGTAGTAATTCTATCATATTGAAGCACACACGATAATACTGTCCATTCTTTTTCTATAGGTTTTCCATTTTTAGGAAGTTTTTTAAAGATATCTATGCATTTTTCGACAATTTCGTCTACATGACCAGACTTTAGAGACATTTTTGAAAACAATTATAGATTATATGACAACATTAAATAATAAATGTATACTATTATTTTCCATTGAATTATTTCTTCCTATTTTATTTTTACAAGAACTTTTCTTCTTTTTTATCACAATACCACACCGCCAGAAAAGTAATCAACTTGTCGTTGCTAGGCTGTCACTGTCAGTGTCAATGTAATGTCAAGTTGCTTCTTAATTTTCATAGTAGCAGTTTGTTATTTCGTTTAAGAATACTTACTTTCTAATGTAAAAAGTATTTACATGGTACTATTATTATTATTTTCATTTATTTTGGCATCAAACAGTCATGTAAATAACAATAATTTCACAAACAGTAATGACTAAAAAGACAGTGCCCAAGTTTAGTACAAACAGAGTGTTTTCATGTTTAAACGTGATCAGACAAATATTCATATAGTAATAAAAAAATGCAAGTGATTACAACAAAAATCAAATCAGAGAAGACGATAATTATTTTTTACTTTAGGTTAAATTTCATTTAAGTTCTTTTTTAATATTCTTCAGAGATGTGTTAAAGAAATCTATGTTTGACAGTTTCTTATTATACATAGTGGTGGAACGATAAAAGAATGCGTTTCAAGTATATTTTTTTCTGCGACGCGGAGGAACAAACAGAGGTAGTGTACGTGAGGAGCGTATAGAGAGACGAGTTCGACCAGAAAATTGAACATGGCCAAGAAGCTCCGACGAGTCGATAAATGAGTGTAAAATCTTATAAAGAAAAACTGTATCAAACATAACGCGGCGATTGCGAAGAGTAAGCAAGTTACATTTATTCAGTGCTTCATTGTATGTCATGTTACTGCTGTTATTACTATGATTAAGGGATTTCAAGAATTTATTTTGAACTCTTTCGAATCTGTTACATAACGTGAATATTATAACAGGGGATCCAAACAGTACTACAGAAATCAAGGATAGAGCGAACAAAAGAAAAATAAAGTATCTTTAGCGTGTCTGTATTTTTAAAAGGTTTGCTAATCCTAAGAACGAAACCCAACCTGCGAAAACAATATGGTCTACGTGATAGTTAAATGCAAGATTCGAGTCCATTATGATCCCTAAGTCTCTGATATGGGTCACTCGTTCGACAATGTGTTGATGACGTGACACTTATTGATATTTAAGAAAAGTTGGTTTTTGAGACAATAGGCACACAGCGCACTCAGATCTTCTTGTAACTTAAGGCAATCGTCATGACAAGTCACAATTTTATATAGTTTTGTATCATCTGCATAAAGCAAGTGACGGCTGTAATTAAAGGTATTGCCAATGTCATTAATGTAAAAAGAGAACAAAAGAGGACCCAAATGCGAGCCTTGCGGGACCCCGGATTGAATTGGAAGAAATTGTGACCGATGCCCTTTGATGCAAACCGCTTGGCTTCTGTTTCTGATGTAGGATTCGATCCATCGAAGAAGGTTACCATGCACTCCGGTTTCTGCAAGCTTTCTTATAAGGATATTATGATTTATTTTATCGAAAGCTCTCGAAAAATCTGTATACTATATAATTTACAGGTGGATGTCGTCCACCTGTAAATTTATATCCATTGCCTGCGCTAGAAATTCAGTAAAAGTGATAATGTTACTATCTACGTTTCTATTTCTATAAAAGCCATGTTGCTGAGGTGAAAAAAAACTACGGGCTGCCAGTGCCAAATCTGAAGTAACCATTTTTTCAAGAATTTTACCAAAGATGCATAATTTTGAAATGGGTCGATATTCTGTTACTATATATTTTTGATTGTTTTTTGGAATAGGGGTCACTAAAGCCGCTTTCCACTTAGAGGGGAAAATCCCAAATTCTAAAGATTTTTGAAAAATTATAGTGAGGGGAACAGCGAGTTCTTCAGCGCAATTACGAACCAGAATGGGGTAAATATTATCAGAACCGAAGAATATATTTATAATTTTAGAACTCGTAAATAAATTATTATACTTGATCAGTCTTTGTAATCACAACGTTATACTGGAAAATATTCTTAATATGCTTAAAACATCCACTTTGTCCCTGGTGTTTGATGTTTTCAGTTAGTAAAACACTTCATATGTGCAGCTTGTTTTTTTTTATATCATTAAAATGTGCTTCTTACATTTGTCGTTTTACCATAGAGCCTATTCATAAACACATAAAGTACATCCTACATAACATTCCTCTCCTTTGTAATTAATAATAATCAAAATCATTATTTTTTGATGGCTTAACTAACCTACCGACAATGAGTTGAATAATTATTATGTAACTTTATCCTGTGTTGCTAAATCTCTTTCTGTAATTGTTGACTGATCCGTGTCATTTACATTCCGTGTCATAAAATTTAATGATGGAAAGTCTTTTTATTTAGTCTTTTTTCAACAATTCTCTCATTGCTGTGCTATCATTGTTGAGTAATTAATTATAAATCTTGATAAATTATTAGTCATCCCTAAAAATCTTTCTAAGTCTTTTTTATCTTTTATTATTGTTATTTCATTGATGGCCTTCACTTTCAGTGAATCTGGACTAACACCTATATTAATCCTAAATATTTAATTGTTCTTGTGAAAATTTCGATTTTTCTTTATTGAATTTAATATTATTTGACTTTGCTAACTCTTATATCATGATAAGAAACTCCTTCATTAAACGCATTTTTCATGCATTTCTGAAATGCCGCCGTTAATACAAAGAGACCAAAAGGTAATCTTAAATACCTATAGTTACCAAATGGAGTAGAGAAAGTGCATAGCTTAGAACTCTCAGAATTTAATTTTACCGTCTAAAACTCACTATTGCAATCTAGTTTTGTAAAATATTTAGCACCTGATAATTTGTCCACAATATCTTCTACAGTAGGAAATTGCTTATATTCTCGAATAATTAATTTATTTAAATATCTCGGATCAATACAAACCCTTATTTTATTATTGCTCTATTTTGTTATGGCAATAGAATTAACCCACTCTACTGGTTCATTAACTTTTTCTATAATTTTTCTTCCATCATTCTATCTAATTCATTCTTTTGTGGTTCTAAAAGTGCTTTAAAACTGTAAAAGTGTATTGGTACTCTCCGAGGCGAGTCCACACAAGGTAATTTAATATTATATGGCTTAGTGTCAAAACTATGCTTTCAAATACATCAGAATATATTTCCAAAATAGTTTCTAAGTCTTTTAATCCATTACAAATAATGAAACATGTTTCTTTTTGCATATTACACCTATTGATTAATATAATATTGACATAAGAGCTTAGTCCTAATATGGTAATTCATATAGGTCTAATTTTGATGAACTCTATATTGGCCAATATACCATTTTGCAATAAGCTTTTTATAGTACACAAACCTCTTACAGGTAGACTTTTATTATCAACAGTGACTAATTTTATCATTCTTTTTATACCTCAAGTAAATTGCATGTCATTTTCATATGACATGCAATTTACTTGAGGTCCAGTGTCCAAATTAACTTTTAAAGAATTATTGTTGATATTTATTACTTCTAGTCACTCGCTCTCACCTGGATAAGTGATATTACTGATAATAGCATGTTCCTCGACAGCAGATACCTGTTGGCTTTGACACATTTTAGCATAATGGTTTAATTCCTTCCATTTGGGGCATGTGGATCCCATTTCTGGACATCTGTATTTAGAATCCCACGGCAGGCGACATTTAAAACACTTCCTGATTTTATTGATTGCCAATTTTTTATTTTTTTTATTCTTGGGTTACCGTTGTAACAATTTGAATTGCTTTTAACAAAGTCAAATCCTCTGTAACAGTTTTTATTTTATTATTAGGTCTGATATCCCTACTATGATCATGTCTCGCACCAACTCATCCTTCATACTTCCAAAAACAGTTTTGGCTCAATTTTTTCAGGTATATAATACAGTTTACTGTATTTTGATTATGTTGGTGCCTAGAGAAAAACTTGTGTCTTTCTATCGTAATGTTCTTCTTCGGATTAAAATATTTATCAAACTCATTAACAACTTATCAAAAACTCTTTCCGGGTAAAGTTAATGAATTTAAAATCCCGATTCCCTTGTCGCCTCTATTATGAAGTAATAATGCTACTTTTCTTAATTCAGACGCCTCATCTAAGCCATATCTCGCACCAACTCATCCGTCATACTTCCAACACGCCTTCATATAAAATTTGAATTTTTGAAACCATTTTTCTATTAATTTGAAAAATTTGTCTCTGAAAAATTCATTTGCACAATGCCGTTGTTGTTGTGCCGAATCGGCGTCGGTGTAATGGCGATCATGGTTCTACTCACCGTAGGCTTATGTTAGGGGTTAAAGTATGAAATTGCTGTTTTATTGTAATAGGTTCCTTGAATTGAGATAGAATCTTCGTGGTTTTAGGTTTTCGAAAGAAACTTTTTTCACTTGGTTTCTATGATGTTCTTCTTTTAAAAATGTAAAACATTTATTAATATCGACATTCAATTGCAAAAAAAAGCGGGAAACGTTGAAATTGTTAGGCGTGTTTTTTAAAATTAATTACAATATTAAGTTAGTTAATTAGCAGGGTATATTAGGTAAGTGTTTTTTTATTCTTTTTATGAGGGAGCCCCCCGACGACCCGGGGGGTTCGTCCCCCCGGCAGGTAGTTATGTTACGAGGTTTGTTCCGAGTCAGAGATGGATACGGATGCATCTGCATCTAATAGATCCACTTTAAAAAGGAGCCGTCGCTCCAATGTATGCAAAACTTGTAATAAAAAAAAAGGCGACATCACGGTTCTGAACAGAAACCAACAGATTGTTCTTGCACTGACATTCCATCTAGTATCAATAATAATTCTCTAGACCTTCCTCCACCACCCACATCTGTAATACAGGATTCGATCATCCCACCCTCAGTGACTAATTCATCAACTTCTATCGGTAGGAAAGCTTATTACGAGTCAGATGTTTCACCTTTTATATTGCATGTACAAAAACTAGTATTATCACCTTATATTTTAAGTGAAGTCAATTTTTTGTTTTCTAATCTGCCTAAGCCATTTATAGTTCTTGGTGATTTTAATTGTCACCATACAGTCTGGGGAAGCTTTCAGTGTAATGCTCTGGGTCGAGAATTGGTAGATATTATTGACTCGCATAATTTATATTTACTTAACACAGGCAGTTCCCACACATCGAACT